CCCAGTCCTGCACCATCCTCACAATCCTTGCGATACCTGAGCCCATCGTTGCAGCCAATCTGTCTCATTGAGGGTCTTCTCTTTTTTCACTGACCGTCCACTTTACCAAGCATGATATCCTTCTCCAGGGAATGGTCCTTTCTGATAACATGACCAAAGTAGGTGAGATGAAGTCTGTCTCTCCTTGCTTCCAAGGAGCATTTGGCTATACTTCTTCCAGGACAGATTTATTCATTCTTCTGGCAGTCCATGGTACTTTCAGTATTCTTTGCTGACACCACAGTTCAGATGCATCAATTCCTTTTCAGTCTTCCTTATTTGTTGTTCAGGTTTCACATACACATGAGGCTATTGAAAATACCATGGCCTGTGTCAGGTGCACCTTAGTCTTCAAAGTAGTGTCTTTGCTCTTTAACACTTTAAAGAGTTCTTTTGCAGCAGATTTGCCCAATGCAATACATCTGATTTCTTGACTGTTGCTTCCATGGATGTTGATTGTTGATCCAAGTAAAATGAAATTTTTGACAACTTCAATCTTTTCTCCATTTATCATGCTGCTGCTTATTGGTCCAACTGTGAGGATTTTTGTTTTCTTTATTTTGAGGTGTAATGCATACTGAAGACTGTAGTCTTTGATCTTCAACAGTAAGTGCTTCAAGTCATCTTCACTTTCAGCAAGCAAGGTTGTGTCATCCGCATATCTCAAAACCAAACTCACTGCTGTCGAGTCAGATCCATCTCACAGTGACCCCTTTTTGGATTTCCGAGACGGTATTACTACAGAAGTAGATTGCCCAATCTTCCTTCCGAGGAGTGGCTGGTGGGTTTGAACCACCAGCCTCTGGTTAGCGGTCAAATGCCTTAGGCAGTATGCCATAGCAGGTTGTTAACAAGGCTTCCTCCAATCCTGATGTCACATTCTTCATATAGTCCAGCTCCTCAGATTATTTGCTCAGCACACAGATTGAATAAGTATGGTGAGAGGATGCAACCCTGACACATTCCCTTCCTGATTTTAAACCATTCAGTAGCCCCTTGTTCTGTTTGAATGGTAGCCTCTTAGTCTATGTATAGGTTCCTCATGAGCACAATAAAAAAACATAAAACTAAACTCACTGCCATCAAGTCATTTCCGACTCAGAGTGACCCCCATTGGGTTTCTGAGGCTATAAATCTTTACGGAAGTAGATTGCCCTGTCTTCCTTCCATGGAGCAGCTGGTGGGTTTGAACCACTGACCTTCCAGTTAGCAGTCAAATGCCTTATCCAATACACCATGAGAGCTCCTTGAGTACAATAAAGTGTTCTGGAATTCTCATTCTTTACAATGTTACCCATAATTTGTTAAGCTCCACACAGTCAAATGCCTCTGCATGGTCAATAAAACACAGATAAATATATTTCTGGTATTCTTTGCTTTCAGCCAAGCTCCATCTGACTTCAGCGAAGATATCCCTCATTACATATCCTCTTCTGAATCCAGCTTGAATTTCTGACAGTTCCCTGTCAATATACTACTACAATCATTTTTTAATTAACTTTAGCAAAATTTTACTTGCGTGTGATATTAATGATGTTGCTTGATAATTTCCACATCTGTTAGATCACCTGTCTTTGGAATAAGCACAAATATGGATCTCTTCCAATTGGTTGGCCAGGTAGCTGTCTTCCAAATTTCAAGCCCAGAAACAGTCTCAAGATCAGCAGGCAACATGGCAGACCACTGAGATGAAGACTCAGCCAAATGCAGGATCCAGATGGGCCCAAAAGTTTGAGACCTTTCTCAAAGTGTCTTCTTCTGTACTGGATGCAGACCAGGGCTCCTCACTGGCGATAAAGCACCAGAAAAAAAGGGCTGCTCAATAATATTAAGAAGAGAGCAAGACAAGAGGAGAAAACTGTCCTTATCATTGAAGCTCTTACAGTCTACTTAGTCAGATACTCATACACAGAAAAGGATTTTAAAGGACCTCTGGGAAGCATATAGTCCAGGTATTAGATTGAGTATTACAGTCTGTAAATGTGCAAGGAATTCAGAGAAAGGTTACTGAGGTTCATTAAAGAAGTTTCCCAGAGGAGATGAAATGACTGGTAAAGATAAAGACAAGCAATCTAAATTCTGTTTCATCCAAATTACCTAGGCTATGGATTTAAACTTTCATTGCCTTTCTTAAAATCTCTAGCCATTCAATTTGTATTTTCCCCAGCCCTCTCATACAGAAGGTCTTGTAGTAACACTGTAAATTGCTCCTGTGTGTTTATCACAGTCTGCACTTATTATAAGGAGCTCCAGTGGTGCAATGCCTAAGGCATTTAACTGCTAATGAGAAGGTTGGTGGTTCAAGCCCACCAGTCACTCTGTGGAAAGAAGACAGGGCAATCTACTTCCATAAAGATTTACTGCCTTGGAAAGCCAATGGAGGTCACTATGAGTTGGAACCAACTCGATTGCAGTGAGTTTGGTTTGGTTTTAGCTTTGCATTTATCATCAACTATCTCTCATAATTATATAATGTTGTTAGTTGCCATGGAGTCAATTCCAACTCATGGTGACCCCGTGTGTATGGAGTCGAACTGCTCCACAGGGTTTCCAAGGTTGTAATCCTTAATGGAAGCAGACTGCTGCATCTTTCTTGCATGGAGCATGGAGCGTTTCAGGATTTGAAACACTGACCTTTTGGTGAGCAACCAAGAGCTTAACCACTACACCACAAGACCTCATCCCACTCCACCTCGGGAGGAGCTAAGTCAGACCTAGCAGTTCACCAGGATCCTCCAGGGGTGCACGTTCCAGGGCGAGAAGGCTGGTTGAGGCATAAGGCAAGAGAGAACCCAGCAGCCCTTGCAGAAGGATAGCTGCACTTGTTGGCTAGGGGTATAGCTGAGCCTTGAACAATGCAGGGCTTGGGGCGCTGAGCCCCTGTGCAGTCAAAAATCCACATATAACTTTCGACTCCCCAAAAACATAACTAATAGCCTACTGCTGACCGGAAGCCTTACCAATGACGTACGTAGTCGATTGACACAGTTCTTGCTGTATGGTTATTAGCTTTTTCACACAAGGACACACAGCAGATCAGTTTATTCACTGTAGGGCACAATGGTTACTTACTATTCATTAGGTAGGAGTCAATCATCACAGAGATCTTCATCCTTGTCTTCATGTTGAGTGGGCCGAGGGGGAGGAAGAGGAGGGGTTGGTCGTGCTGTTTCAGGGTAGCAGAGGTGGAGGCAGGAGAGGCAGGCGCACTCGGTGTAGCTTTACAGAAAGACAGTGTTCCGGTTACCTAGTGCTGCTCTAACAGAAAATACCACAAATAGGATGGCGTGAACAGTCTTTTCTCTTACAGTGTGGAGGCTTTAAGTCCAAGTTCAAAGTGCCAGGCTTTAGGGGCTGGGTGAAAGCCCCTCAACCTTGTATTTCAGCTCTGCCTCCTGCCTCCAGCCCATTGAAGCTGGAGGCTTTTCTTTCACTCAGACAGCTGCTGGCTGCTGAGGCTGACAAACCCAAGGTTGACAAGTAAAAAGGCACAGTCCCAATGTTACCAATCAACATGGCAGGCCACTAATTCAAGTCCAGAAGAAGTCCTAAGATGGGTAGGGCTGGACAATGACTTGGCTACATGCAAGGTTCAGGCACGCCAAAAAGCTAGAGACCTTCCTCCAAGCTGCTCCTTATATCCTGGAAGCTGACCACATCCCTAAAGCAGCTATTCAGCAGGTTCCACCATGGAATTGATTGCCAGTCTCACCATGGAGAATAACTACACCCAGCTGCCCAGCCACTCACTTGGCCCAGTCACGTTGACATACAACCTGAACTACCACAGTGTACTTTCTGTCTGACTCTTTTGCTTTTTCACTTCTCTGAAAATGTGTCTGTATGGTACCGGTTCTTCCATCGTTTGCCTTGATTTCGGTACCTGTATCATAGAAGGGCCATGTCGTAAAAGAAGTCTGAAGCTGTCTCAGATCATTGAACCCTTCTGCCGGACTGTCTGACGTCAGTTTGTTTTCCAGCACTGCTGCTTTTACGGCATCTTCCTCACCGTCCGGCACGGGTTGGGAAGCAGTCATCCATCAAGTCGTCTTCTGTTCATTCCTCTGCTCTGATGTGTTTTAGCTCTTGAGTTTCTTCAAGATCCGTATCTTGATCGATTTTTCTTTAAAAAAATCTGCATATAAGTGGGCCTGCGCAGTTCAAACCAGTGTTGTTTGAGGGTCAACTGTATAGTGTTGTCGTGTGCTGGGGGGTCGATCCCAACTCATAGCGACCCTCCAGGACAAAGGAGAACTACCCCACAGGGTTTCCAAGGCTGTAATCTTTATGGGAGGAGCCCTGGTGGTGCAGTAGTTAAGTGCTCAGCTGCCAACCAGAAGGTCAGTGTTTTAAACCTATCAGCCTCTTGGTGGGAGAAAGATGAGGCGGTCTGCTTCGGTAAAGATTTATAGCCTTGGAAAGTCTATGGGGCAGCTCTACTCTGTCCTATATGAGTCAGAATTGGCTTGATGCCTGTGGGTTAATCTTTGCAGGAGCAGGTCACCAGGTCTTTCCTCCTGAGGAGCCATTAGTGGGTTCAAACTGTCAGCCCTTCAGTCAGCAGCCAAGCACCTAACCACCGCGTCACCAGGGCTCCTCGGGAAGCACACCAGCTGCCCCTTCTCCAAGGCAGACTCTGCAGACTTTCCTGTTTCCTTTCTGAGCACGAGCTTTTACTCACCGAGGAGGTGTGCTCTGCTTCCCCAGTACTCACCGGGCACATGGGTGAAAAAAATCTGACCCATGAATTGTTTTCAAATTTAATGACATTTTAATGAATATTAAGATGCCTTATGAGGTTGAGAGATAGTTTTTTTAAAAAAGCAAAAACATTTTATCTAATATTTAAGGAGCCCTAGTGGCAGAGGGGAGCTCTGGTAGCATAGTGGCTAACGCACTTGACTGCTAACCAGAAGGCTGGCAGTTCAAACCCACCAGCCACTCCTCGGAAGGAAGGTTGGGCATTCCTACTTCCGTAGTGATACTGCCTTGGAAACCCAAGGAGGGGTTGCTATGAGTTGGGGCCGACTCGATGGCAAACAACAACAACAGTGGCATAGGGAGCTCTGGTAGCATAGTGCCTAAGGCACTTGACTGCTAACCAGAAGGCCGGCAGTTCAAACCCACCAGCCACTCCTCGGAAGGAAGATGGGGCCAATCTACATCCGTAGTGATACTGCCTCCGAAACCCAAGGAGGGGTCGCTATGAGTCGGGTCCGACTCAATGGCACATAACAACAACAGTGGCATAGTACTTATGCACTTGGCTGCTAACCCAAAGGTCAGCAGTTTGAACCTACCAGCTGCTCTGCAGGGGAAAGAAAGATGGGGCAGTCTGCTTCCATAAAGATGACAGCCTGGGAAACCTGACGCGGCAGTTCTACTCCGTCCTCCAGGCTCACAGTGAGTCGGATTCAACTTGACCACGGAGGATTGGTTTTGGTATCTAACATTTATTCGTTTCAATGTCACAGGGTGTTGAGGTGTTTTTTTTCCCCCTTCTCATGGGTAGAGCACTTGCCCTGTGCTGGGGCCCTCCTTACGTTATGCCCTTTAATGGCCTCATCAGGCCTGAGAGGTAGAGCATATTCAGCTTCCTTTAACAGGCGTGAGACTGAATCAGAGAAGTCAGGTACTTGCCTAAGTCACTCAGCAGGAGTGGAGATGGAGCCCTGGTGTGGCTGAGCCGGTCCTCCAGCCACTCTTGTTGTCGTCACCCTGCGTGGGTGGGTGGGAGGCTGTCCCCACAGGGGAAGCATTCCTCTGGGAATGCTGGTGGTCTGCGCTCTTTGTCACCCCCTCCTCCCCCCAGTAAGAAGGAACTGAAGAGCACTTTTTTCTTCCCTAGGAAGAGAGTTTTCTTTGTACATTCGCAGGAGATTGTCCTTCCAGAAGTCAGTCTGTAAAAAGAAGTTCTACCACGTTCAGGTGAGTGAGGAGGCACAAACCCAGCGCCTGGGAGCCCCATAGACTCCAGAAATCCTGGGGTCTTCTGGAACACAGATGCTTGCAGTCGGTCTGGCCCCTCCACCCCTCAGTGGCAAGGCTCTGATGGGCAGTGGACGAGGGCACCCTGAGGGGCAACACAGAAACGCCCCCGTGGGAGGAGAGGAGCCGACTTTAAGTGTAGGCTGCATCGCAAGGTGCTTTTATATGATTTTTTCTCAGTTAATCCTCATTGCCAGCCTGGACCCTGGGAGTCACCCCTGACACCTACCTCCCCCTGTGCCCTGTTGAGGCTCCCTTCTTCCTACTTCCCCTAACCTCTCCCCGTTCCACGCCCCCCACCCGCTTGGAACTCCATAACTCCTGCAGTCAACTAACTGGTCTCCCCCATCCTCTCCGAGACCCCACCTGTCTTTGCAAAATGCAAAGTGAATTGCGCCGTCCTATTACCAGCTGACCCTTCCCTGCTCACTTCACCCTCAGCAGCCCCTCCCAGACTCTGCGGCTTCCTGCTGCCTATAAGGCAGACTGGAAAAGGCCCCGACCCACCTGGCCCAGCTGCATCCAACCTCCCTGGCCTTCCGCCTTTCAGTTCCTCGCACGCGCCACACGCCCGCCCCTCACGTGGCCTCCGTACCTGCTGCTCTTGCCTCGCGCACCACTGCCGTTCTCATTGTCAGCAGCTCTTCCCAACTCCAAGTTTAGAGAAGTCATGTTGGTAGCTTGAAATCAGCCAAACACTACAAATCACGGCCAATGTTTTTTACCTGGAAAGCAGGGAAACATAAATGGGCGAGGTTTGGCAAAAAAGTTAAACCTGTCTTGGCCTCATCAGTAAGCACCTCAGATTCAACAGGATGAGGACAGTGCTTGATTCCTGGCACCACCCCACCCTGGCATCACAGTTCATCTGGATGACACAGTCACCTTCTACCTGGCTCCTGCCTGACTCGTGGCCCCCTGTCCCAGTCTCCAATGGCTGCCAGAGTGATGTTTTACAAACGTTCATCAGATGAGGCTGTTCCCTGCTTAAAACCCCTAACAGCTTCTCCAGCGCACTCCGAATGAAGCCGGCCTCCCTCACCTGACTTGAAATAGCCTGCAGTCCAGCCAGCACTGCTCTCCAGGTGCCTGGCATCCACCCCTCAGTACCAGGCATCAGCCCCTGGCCTTCCTCCAGCCTCTGGGACCCGCCAAGCATGTGGCCCCTGGGCCTCTGCCCTGGCTGTGCCTTTGCCTGGAGTGTGCTTTCCGCTCTTCCAGAGAATGCTGCCTCCTCTCACTCTCCCGGTCCCAGCTTCCCCATCATCACCTTAGAGGGGCCATCCCTGGTGCCCCAGCCACTGTCTATTGAGCCTCCTCTGTTAGTTATATCTGAAGTGCTCATTATACTTGAGTGGTGTGAACCTTGCACATGCTCAGCTGCCAGCCGAGAGGTTGGAGGTTCAGGTCTACCCAGAAGCACCTCGGAAGAAAAGCCTGGCAATCTGCTTCTGAAAAGCCAGCCATTGAAAAACCTTGGAGCACAGCTCTGCTCTGACACACGTGGGGTTGTCATGAATTGGAGCTGTTTAATTCCATAGTGCTTACCAGGAGCTGCTATGGTTCCTGTGGGATTCACATCTCCATTGTTTAGTGTCTGTCTCCTTCTATGAAAATGCAAACTTGGTAAGAACGGAACCTGTTCTTCCCTTTTTTGCAGCTCTGTCTCCAGCATCTAGAAAGACCTAATGCACAGATGATGCTCAATAAATATTTCTTAATAACTGAGATAGGCCCCATAAACCCTCAGCCCTGTGCTCGGTACACAGTAAACCAGAAAAACCACACCCACTGCCAGCGAGTCTATTCCGACTCATAGCAACCTCCATTGGGTTTCCAAGGCAGTAAATCTTTTTTTTTTTTTTT